TGGTATCGAAGAGTAGTTTTAGTTCTCTATTGAATTGATACAATGGTTAACTTGAACAAAGAGGAGAAAACATAATCATCACTATTTTCTTCAAACACGTCGTGATGTTCTTCTAATACGGCGTGTTGGCACCCAACACGACGTGTTGATATTCTAACAACACGTGTGGTTAACCGACACATTAAAACGAGATGATAAATGACATCGAGAGTACCAAGCTAATTTGCATGGTTATTCACATCTCATTTTTGATCCTCGACATCCCAGTCACACAAGTGAGAGCATAATCGTGATTAAACATGCCATTGAATAGTTCAATGAATCTCAAAAGATCTAGGAGTTTCATTAGATTGAAATTGGTAAATGTTTTACCTACCAAAAATAAGATTCAAATTTGATTACGGCATCCCTCTTCAATGTTCGAATCGAAAATATGGATCCTAGCCTTAATCTAAATCTATGGGTTAATAATTAAGGATTAAAATTAACTAACTTGAATTTTCTTTTCTCCTTTTATAGATGTCAATTTCAGATAACAATGGGCTTCCTTGTTCTTTGGTAAGTGGTTTTCCTCTTTCTTCTGAAGATGATCTTCCACATGTTGATCAAGGTGAAAGAATGTTCCCTTCTTCGAGCAATGGTGAAACTCGAGATCATGCTTCTTCAACTCTTCCTCCTCTACCTCAAGTGACTCTCCCTAAGTTATCTTTTCTTCAAGTTATAAAGTACGAAGTTACTCAATCCCTTTTGGCATGTAAAAATCAAGATGGAAAATTTGTGTGTGCGCATGTTCTAAAAATGAAATTATATATTGACAGATTGGGTTTGTTGGGTGTCGTTTTACCAAAGGAGCTAGCCATTGACTTGCTTCTACTTTTCTTTCCTGAGTCATATAGTCAATTAATTAAAGACTACTATATAAGGGACCATGATGTGACCCTAATTGATCTAACACAAATGTTGATTGTTGCTGAAGCAGAAATGCCTAAGAGCACAAGTCATGCAAAAGTGTTTGAAGGATCTGTCTCCCAAATTTCCGTGGACATTGACGAGGACAACAGTGGTAGTCCAGCAAAGGTTTCTCTTCCCAATGGAAATAGATCAGCCAAGGTTAAACCGTTTAACCATATAGTAAAGAGAAATGATAGTTTTGAGATAGTTCCATGTGCTAACCCTAAAGGTTCCATATGTTTCTATTGCCAATTGAAGGGACATTGGTTGCGAAGCTTCCCAGATTACCTGAAAGATCTTAAAGATGGAAAAGTTGAGTTGTATGACTCCACTTTAGGTACATCCATTATCTAACTCCATATTTTTATAAAGTTCCTATTCATAGATTCTTAATACATGATGTGATAATCACATTTTGATGTTTTGCAGGATCTAAGAGAAAGAAAGAATCTTAAGAAGAGTGAGCTAAATTTGATCATGAGAGATGGATTTCGGTCACATGGTTCGACTATTTAGGAGTTGTGATAATTTAATATATTTTTTAGGAGATGTTTAGAAACATAGTTTTTGTTTTGTACTATAAGGAAAAGTTTCAATTTTTCGTTTATTATAAATAAAAGTGAATTTTTTATTTATCTTATATTTCCTTACAATGACATTTATGAAAGTGTTGATTACATTTCTATTATTAGCAATATTAACTGTGAATCTGATTCTTATTATTTCACTTGTGGTAAATGTCATAATTGACTAAGTGATAAAGAATTCTCATCACCCAAGTTCCAATTAGATAGAAAGTTGGAGTCATACAATTTAAATTGTGTGATGTATAAGAATCTTGATCTTTAGAAGATTATGACTAATTCATTGATCACATGTTTATGTGAGTCAAAGTGAAGGACTAATGGATCTAGTACATGTTGATATGGACTATTCAGATCCACCACAAAGGAAAATATGTCTATTCATCATAATTTGATGATGTTTCAATAAATATGGATGTGTTCATAAGATTAAGCATAATTATAATACATTGAAAGGGTTTCAATGATTAGAAGAACGAATAAGAAGAACCAGTTAGGTAGAAAGATAAAGGTTTCTCCGATTTGAAATGAAAGGAAAGTACTTTAGTATCGTGTTCTTTGATCATCTTAAGGATTATGGAACTACATCATAATTGATCCTCAGAGAACATCTTAGTGCAATTGTATGACTAAGACAAGGAATTGATATGTGCATATTTAGTCATATAATTCAGATAATATGTTAATACTTTTTGCTATTTTTGTCTCGAATTATGAACAATTGGTACTTAATTTTGATAAAATTACATTTTCCAGCCTTTGTGACATGCTCGGGTGAAAAAGGAAGCGGAGCTAGCAATTGGAAGCTTGGAAATTGAAGTGTGAAGAAAAAAGGTTTAAATGAAGGAAAACTCGTCAAGTTAGCCATCAACTCGATGAGTTGGTTGGAAGATTCCCTAATGTGCCTCGCGAGACTGTTTTACTTTGTATGCTACCAATTACATTTAAGGGGGCTGTAAAAGATTGGCTAAAATCACTACCTCCAGGATCCATCACGACATGGGCTAAGATGCATGAAGAGTTCATTGATCAATTTTGCCCTCCCTCAAAAATAGCAAAGTTGAAAAAAGCCATTGCAAAATTCGAACAACAAGGAGGTGAGTCACTCTACGAGGCGTGGGAAAGATACAAAGGCTTGTTGAGGAACTGCCCCCACAATGACCTAAACATTCAGCAAGAAGTCTCCATTTTTTATGATGGAGTGAACTTGACGACTAGGCAGCTCCTTGACTCCTAAGGACCACTCACAAAGAAGGCACCCACATTTATAAAGAAACTAATTGAAGAATTCTCTAAGCACTCTATAGAATATCATAACCCAAGGAACGACTCAACTCGAGGGGCGGTGAACTCAATTTCCGATAATATGGCAGCGGTGATGGCTAAATTGGAGAGCATGGACCGACGGATGAAAAAGATGGATCAATCCTTCCTTGCCATCCAAGTAGGATGTGATAACTGTGGCGGGCCTCACCTTGCTAAAGATTGTGATTGTAACAACCTAATTTTCACGTCCAAAAATTTCATTTTTAAATCAATACTTTGGAAAGCATTTGTAAATAAAACATTGTCTGATCAAACCATTCCACAATCATATATCGTGTTTAAAAAAATCAAAATACGAACTCAACTGAATATCAGAGTACAAATCTCAGAACAATCTCGTAAGGCGGAAAATAGTGTATCTGTATGATGTATCGCTACCGCGTTGGCTCCTTCCCCTTTGACGAAGAGGTACCTAAAACCAAAATGGAAAATGTAAGCACAAAGCTTAGTGAGTTCCCCTAACATACCACATACCATGCAATCATATAGCATACAGTACAATCATATAACATACCATACTTGTCAGGCATTCCTGGGGTGCTTGACCTACCCGGTGCGCCCATTATGGGGTGCCGACCTACCCGTGCGGCCATTCTGGGGTGTCGACCACCATTCGGTCCTAACAACCGAACCGGGAACTGTTTCACCCCTACCACTACTACTATAACATATCATAACATAACATACTATCAAACATATCTGGGGTGTCTGACATCGGTCCTAACAACCGAACTTGGGGACTGTTCCCCTCCTACTACCCCTAACACATATCTCATATCATGCTAGCATATAATCTTGACATCACATACTGTCAGACGTATCTGGGGTATCTGACTACCCTTCGGTCCTAGCAACCTAACTCTACTACTATAACACATCAAGCTAGCATATAACATATCAGGTAGTAGCTGTCACACCTCCAAACCAGAACGGTAGAATCGTTCGAGGGCGAATGACTTCATGTAGTATCGAAACAGTTGAATACATAGTAAATAAAGTAACACAACCATCATATATATAATTTGAAAGTTCACATTGTATAAAAGTACTTTTTTCAAAAGAAATTACAATATGATGTCAAAATGAAATTAAACTAACGCCGCAGCGTCCCTTCTTCAAAAGCTGTAGTTTACCTGTATTACTGAATTCCTGAGAAATACAAGTGGTTTTGAAAGAGTAGGTCAGCATTTAAGTTGGCGAGTTCATAAGTATTTAGTGACAATGTTTGTATGAAATAGAATGAAAATGGTTTGTACATGTTTAAATGTTCCTAGAAAATCTCATATTTTCTACTATAGTAGATGGTAGTTTAATTGTTCCAATAGTGCTTTTCATGCCTAAAATAGTAGGTTTATGCATAAATTGTTAAGGCATTTGAAAAACCATGTAAATCAATGTGTTTTTAATACTCCATGTGAGTCTTATAACCATACTATTTGACCAGGATGTCTATAACAACGTTCTTCAGGCGTTGGAAAGTTATGACATTTGTCACCCTAGGCCTGCCGGCCTAGCTGTAGCTAACAGCTAAGGTGTGGGATTGTTAATCCCGTATGGATCTATACACAAGTATCACGCTCCCCCTACAAGGGATTTTGGTATATAATACAGGACTTAAATGCATACTCGAAAGTATGTGAAATGAAATGTATCACAAAATTTAGTATAAAACAGATTTACGTATGAAAATGTCCATTTGTTCTTGTGTATGAAAATATCTCTTTGATATAGTGTTTCTAGTATGTAAATGTTCATGATTTTCTCGTAA